GTTTGTCCACATGCTACTTGAAGTATGGTGCCCAAAAGTGGACACACTACTCCAGGTGAGGTCTCACCAATGCTGAATAGAATGGAAGAATCACTTTTCCCTGGTTGGAAAGTGACACTCCTATTGATACAACCCATGTATATGGTTGGCTTTTTTTGCAACAAAAGCACACTGTTGGCTCATTTTGGAGGTTGCTAGAAAATGACACAGAAACAAGTGAGTGTCATATTATGTATTAAGTATATGAACATAAATTAAACAAATTATGTTTCCTTTCTAATTACTGAAATAACATGGTGTGCTTACTACTAATTAAAAAAATTACATTTGTAACTATCAGCCAGGCATATTGGCTCTGTATTTTGTATTCTTATTCTGCAGACGCTAGACAAACTAACAAGAACCATGAAAACAACATTTGTACATGCTTGCTTCTGTCTCTCACATTTTTCCTTAGCTATTCACATTTAAGATATTTTATTTAAAACCATTTCTTTATAAGCATATTTTGATAAAAGAAATGCTATTGCACAGAATATACTAGCTATTTTACTGGTAACTGTGCCAAAACCTATCTTTGAATGATATACAATGGGTGACAGCAAATTGCTTTTTCATCTTTACAAATTACTTTCCAACTTTAGAGCTAGTCTCAGGTACTTCCAATAAAATATTGCTCATTAGAAAATCTTTTTTTTTGTTGTTTTTTGTTTTTGTGGGAAAGGGTCAGTTTCAATGAAAATTTTTGCCAGGAATAATTTTCTTGGGGACAGACTAGAATTTCTTATCAATTACTTATATAAATGTGTGTATGTATGTATGTACATATATATAAAAAGCTAGATACCTCAACATCAGCATGCCACAGTCACTAGGCTATTGGTTATCCTTTTGTTCTGCACTGGAATGGGAAAAAAGTCAAATTCTCAGTGCTTTTCACTTCATTGAATTCTTGTTTTCTGGCCAGCCCTGTTTTTAAATAATGTTTAGGTAGTTGCAAGAGACAATCAGTAAACACTTATGTATTTACATAATTATATCAATTTCCACCCCTAATCATTTCTGTATTTTACAATAGTAAATGGACTGGTAACTTTCAAGCATAACATTATTTTAAAATGAAGTAGAAATATGAAAACAATGTATTAACATTTAAAAGTGTGGAAAATACTCCTGCCTAATCAAGCACAAAGTTAATTGGGAAATGCACTGAATCATAATTTACTGAGTGAGAGATGGAAACCAGTGAAAAATTAGGAAATCTTGCTTGAAAGAGACCATTTTTTAAACCATCCCATTAGAGGCTTATGCTTCCATTATAATTACTGCGTATTTGTTCAAAGATGTGTATGGTAATAGCTTCCAGCTCATTATGGGATGATTTTTTTTTTTTTTCTAGAGAACTCATTGATGAAGTTTGTCTAAACAACTTTGAACTCCATTTAATGGTATCTGATTTGCTGAATGAAAAACTTGCTGTTAGGTCACTAACTCTCTGTCATCTGATAAAGGAAGTTGCTAGCATCTGATGAAGTAAGTTATGTTATGAAATGCTCATGCCTCTCTGAACTAGTTAGTGCCACCCTCATGTTCCCTACCTTCTGTCTCAGTCACAAACTTTCTTGTATATGAAGTATTGAGACCAGTATTGTTTTATATTTGGTTATGCATTTGTGAAATTTAAATATGTGAATGATAATAATAAACTGGAAAGTGAGATGCTCTGAACTGCTCCAAGCCAACTCTGTTCTGCCTAATTGCTGATCTCTGATGTATTTCAATGGGAATAAGTGGGCAGACCTTATTTTGTCAGGATGGACCTAAGGGTGAAGGGGAAGCTGTAGAGATGTGACCTTTGGCACCTTATTTCCTTTGAAAGTCAGTGCTTCATTACCATTTGTGGCTCTGCAAATCTCACTCCAAATAACTGTATGAAACAATTACAGGGATTGGTTCATACTAAAGAAGAGCTAAACAGAATACAAACTCAGAGAAAGCTAGGGAGAAATATCAGTTAGCAGTCTCTCTTTTTTACTTCCTGTGTTTAGCAACAACCAGAAACCTAACCAAGTTAACCCTGAGAATAGGCTTCCATGGGTACCTCCAGATTGGTCCAAAAAAGAGCTAGTCTGGAATATCATTACTTTAAACATTTTTTCAGGTGGTGGTGGTGTTTAAGGAGGGAGCTTTTTGACATGTTGATATATTCTTCCTTGCCTACTTGGGGGTATGTTTAAATCATATTCCATGTACAAAGTCAAACTGTTCCATTATAACATGTACTGTACAACAGACTCTTTGATGTAAAAAAGATAAGATGTTTCAGCTGCTACTAAGCAGAAGCTATCTTTAATGATTTAAAATAAGAGTTGAAATTTTATTTCTATTTTATGTCATATTATGACGTATCAGTAGTAGAGATGTATATTGTAGAGGCAAAGGTTTCTTTGGCTGATATCTTTTAACAGCATTTTAAATAAAAATGCTTCATTCTTTGCTCAACTCCAGTCACATAAAATGTTTTACTAGAAAAACTATGAAGTTTTAAAACATTTAGTGCTATAAACTGTGCCAAGCAATAACTTAAAAATGCACAGTACTTGCTGTGTTGATGTTGCAACCTATTGTAAACAAATGCATTTGTTACTAATAACACTTCCCTGTCACTTATTAAGATTGAAGATAAAAATTGATTTTACTTGTCACTATATATTAAGTTTGTTTACTTTTTGAATTTCTCTCAGCCTGATCTAAAGAAATCAATGAACTTTTGCTTCACTTGCTGACTCTCCTTCCTGCAGTGCTTTAGCTGAAAACACTTCAGGTGAATAGATTTGTCTGGAAGCAGATGTTCCCACTACAAATTTTTACAAAGATAGCAGTCCCCCCATTTAAAATCTACTTTTCCTTGTTTCAAATAACTGTATTTTTAAAGGGGAACAGTGAAAGAATCCTCTTTTCTGAGTGATTACAGAAAAAGTCTTGATTATTTAATTTTTAGCTGTTCCTACTAACAATACTTCCTTCAGGACAGTTGATAAACATCAGAATTGACATCAGGATAAGAGCAGTGGTGCTCATCAAAGATTTAAATAGATGCCGCAGATAGAAAGTGAATATACAACAGGACTTTGAGCTTCAGTGATCCCTTCCCCAGGTCTTGCCTGCTCTCCTCTGCCTTTGGGGCCTCACAGCACAAGCTGATTGCTCTATTCAAATTCCATGTCCTGTAAAGGCTTCCCCTGCCTGATATGTGCCATATCCTCTATAGATTGAAATGTGGCAAAAGGAGCACAAATAAAGCTAATGACAGATGGCAATGGACTGACTGCTGACAGCTATCTTCTAGTGCAGACAATTATGTTAGAACTGGCCTTAACATCTTCATTAATCATTTGGAGAAAGGAATAAAGAGCATATTAATATCACATATAAAGGATAGTACATGGAAAACACTGGAGAGAGATACAGGTTTGTAAAAATACTCAGAAATTAATGGGAAAGAAACTGAGATTATAGACATATATAGAACATAAAGATATTCAGTTTCCAAAGTAATTGAAGTTAATACATCTGTGATAAAAACAGCCTAAAATATGCCCAGTGTTAGAGTCTTAATGATTTTGTTATTATTTTAGATCACACACACACACACACTGAGAGCCCTACACTTACAGGGTCATTTAAAAGGCCTTTGTGCATGTTCCTCCAGCAGGTAGCACATGACACACAAATGTGCACCTGACTCTCCACTTCTAGAGCCTTCTTAGGTGATGACCCAAGCCTAAAGTCTATTGGGTCATACAGAGTGCATGAGCTGGCCAACTTATAATAAATCTCAATGGAATTCCATAGAAACAATAACTATACTATAGCCATAGGTCAGTCCCAGTTTCACCCTCAACAGTCCTCTCCTTGATACCTTTGTGATAACTCAACTAACAAAGTACCACCACAATTGATACAAGGGGCTGAGTCATGGCAGCCTCATTCCTGATTTATTCCCTATGCCATGCCCAAGACATTATGGCAACATTGCATTTTACTTCGGAGAGGGACTTTCCTTAGGGTATGATCATGACTCTATGACTTTAATCAAACAACATGAGAAACTAATAACTCAACAACTATTGACAACTTGAATCCATCATATCTCAAACATACCTCTGATGGTATCCTTCATTCATTATTTCATCCATACTCATATACTTCTCATCCATAGGCTTCCATTTGACTAATTCCTCATTCAATTTCCCAACCATTCTCTTCTCAGCTTTTTCTTCATTGGCCTCCAATAATTTAGTAATACCATTATGTATTATTATTTCCTTTAAGAGGGTCAGATTCATACCAATGTGTGTGGGTATTAGTCAGTCATACAGGATGAAATCTTCCCCCACCGACATATTGTAGGTAACCAGTATGCTAATATCAACATCACATCCAGACATGTGCGCTACCTTGCGTCAACAAAACATATTATTCTTCCAAGTAATGGAAACTTCATACCAATAGTTCAATAACAGAGTAGTACACCAAGTACTTATACAAATACAGTGACTATCTATTACGTATATAGCAGTAGAGATATTTTTGTCACATATAATACTATACTCTAATTGTAGTATGATATATTCCTATTATTGTTACAAGTATCTCTTACAATGTCATCACTACTTTTATAAATGTATCTATTCTTATTTACTTTGCAATGACATACATCTATTAATTCATAAGAACTTGGAATGATCTAGAAAGCATTTATTTTTGGTCTCATTATGGATCCATTTATCCTTCTTTCGCTGTAAATAATAGGGCTAATCGTTTTTACCTTTGCCCTTATAATTGTAGACAGCCTAGCTATTACAACCTTTTGATGGGGGCAGTATTCAAAATGTTCTAATAACCACCAATCTGATAGACAATTTTATGTCTCAGTAGCAATCCTAGATATTAAACGTCTTATTTCGATGGGAATGATTCCTGAATATTCCAATTGAATTATACCACCTAGTAAGTTTTGCACCCAACTCTGTGCTTGTGCACAAGTTAATGTGAGACCCGTGTTGTTCTGGGCTTTTTCAAGTGCTCTGATTGTCAGTAGTGGTTCTAACTGGGAAACCTTGTGCCAAGTTGGGAGTACCCTAGCATTGTTTAAAGCTTGCCTTCCAAGTTCAGACAGTGATGATGTTATAGAACCCTGTAGCTCTCTTAGCTGTTGGGCAGCCCTTGACAATTTATTCATTGTCACTTCCATAGTTTCATAGTTTGTAGGGTCGGAAGGGACTTTGACAGATCATCAAGTCCGACCCCCTGCCATGGCAGGAAAGAGCACTGGGGGCAAACGACCTCAGCAAGGTGTTCATTCAGCCTCCTCTTAAAGAACCCCAGGGTAGGAGGCAGCACCAGTTCT